TTGTAAAAAATTTATACCAATTTATACCAATCTAAATTATACCAATGCTATTTTTTACAAATATATTTTTACAAATATATTAATATGTTAATAATATGCAAAACGTACGCAGATTCAAACACCTTCTCACTAGAATCTATGATTTTCTGACCTTGCCAATTTTCAAAAAATATATTAATTAAAAAGTCCGTTTAAATAAGCAGCGGGTTTTAAAATTAATGTGATCCGAGTAATGTTTTCCGAATTGTTTATCACCTACAAAATAATGATATATATATATATATAAAATTAATAAACTAATGAATATATAGTTAATTTAATTAAGAAAATATATTAAATATTTAATAAAATAATTTGTGAATGTACAATCAAAAAGTATTATAATTATGAGAATGTTTATCGGATATACCTGATATTCCAGAACGCTCAAAATAAATACAGTTAATCCAACATGTATGAAAAGAGGTAAGCTGTATACTGATTCCAGAACAGCGACAAATCTAATATAAAATGTATGAATATATTAATTTATTATATTGTTATTTATATGCTATTTATATGTCACAATACACTTACTGTATTGTTTCTACGTGTCTGCGGATACTATATACGATATTTGAATAAGATTTGTCCTTTATAGTCATCATGAGTCCATTATTCTCATTTTGGAAAACTAATGCGGTTTCCAATCGATATCTAAGCTCAATTGTATTACAAAATTTTTAAAGATAATAACGTTAAATTGAAACGAGTATTTTGCGCGATATATAACCGTCTTATTATTTGCATATGCATTTTCACAGAAACTATGCTTGATTTGAATTTAAAATATCCGACTTACCTCAAAGACGCATATAAACCGCAGCAATATTCGACCAGTGTCAGATACAGAACATCAAATACAACTAATAAAACTGTATACGAAAAATCGCATATGGCCGAGTGTATGAAAATTGGAACATAATATGTATCCAAGTCAATCATATAATTAACACGATGAGGCAGTCCTACTTGAGAATTCGACTCTTTCGCTGGGGGTTTATCAATTTTGTTGGATCTCATATGGAAAAATCTTGTCACTAATGTCGAGAGCATGTAAAGAATGCTGTGGCCTAATAAGAAACCTAATTTGCAGGAAAATTTCCATAATTTACATTTATCGCCATCGGCAGCTATATAATAAGTTTGCTATTACATATGTATGGTATGTTTGTATATTTATTATTATGATAATGCTATCGTAAAGTGTTAAATATCTTAAAAGATATTTCGAATACGCCGAGCGTGTTTGAAAATTATTTAAAATATAATATTTATGTAGAAATATGCTTGAAATTTTGTCACTGCGTTGTATTATTAAATTATCACGGCGGACTATATTATTTAATTCACCCGTATAAGCGTAGCCTAACTTTCGCCCATGTAGCGCGTGCGAATTCTGTATCTTAGTTTCCTCGTCAGATTTTGCGGAAAGACAGATCTCTCGCATTTTTATTAGAAGCATTTTTATCTATTACTCAAAAAAAAAATTTTAATATAATGAAAAAAATCCTTTTACATTATTTTCGGATTTTATTTTTATTGTTAATAATATAGACGACATAATATAGACAACATTTTTGTTTACGCACCTTTGGTAATGTGTATACCACACAGAACATTTTACTTAAAGTCACTATAGCGAAGAAAAACAACGGCAAAGCATCGATTACTTCAAAGGAATCATGCCGGACTTCAATTATACCTAACATCTGCATTTCTCGTCGATTACATACATATCATTACACATAATAGCGTAACAATCACATAAATAGCTTTAATTAAACCATCCAACCGTAAATTATATCAATTAAAAATATACTTAAAAGCTAATATTAATTTTACACGTATTGTTGAGTTGGAATATTTAATTTCTACACATTTTTTGGAAAATAGTGCAATTTTAAAAGTTGAAACGGTATACGCAAGCAACTCTCTTAAAATGATAGGACGCATGACTTTTTTTTAACATACCTCAAATATAAATCCAGATCCAAGGATGAGTAGCATTGCGAAGTATATCGCGTAACGTCTGTTTATCGTATGAAACGGCCATAGACCACTGATGTTCAACAGTACTCGAATAATATTGTAATGCGATTCCTGAAAGAACTGGTCAATATCACCCATTCTATTTCTTATCTTCTGCTGCTGCTATTACAAAAGTGAAATAGTCAACATAGGATATTTAATAGGCCGCGTCCCATTGAAAATTCCGTTTAATGTTGATGTGTTTTAAAATACAGGTCCTATGTTTATATCGCAAAAACCAAAGTGATCCATCGCAAAGTTGTAAGATTATGCAAATTACGTAATTGGAGGAGGGAAACAGTCTCACGATTGAAAATATTGTCTTGGTGTATTCAACGCGGGCAATAGAGACATGAAAATTTTATTTGTTAGTAGAGAGACTCAATCTAAGGCCAGACTGTTGCGAGAAGGTATAGCTACTTTGTTAGAATATAGTTGTTAGAAAATAATAATTTTGTCAGATATAAGTTCATCAAAGCTATGGAAATGTTTCATCAAAAAGATTAAAGAACATTATTTATTAGTATTGATATTTTTATATTTATTTTTTTCATAAGTATAGACATTATCTTCTGCTGTTACTTAAATAACTAATAATATTATACATTGCTCTCATATTGACAATAATTTTACATTTTTCAGAAAAAAGATTCTGAAAATTCTAGATTACCGTACAGATTGTAAGACCGTAAAGTACGAAGCAGATACACGTACGACCTAAAAAAAAAATTTTTAGAAAATTATATAAAATATCTCAACAGGGAAGGCATGTGACGCTTACCGCGCTGAAACTTGGAAGAGAAAGAATCATGATCTTTCCAACGGTTAATGTACAAGGTAAGGTGCTTCTCAGCATTATCATATTCAAAAGCTTCCTGGATTTTGGCGATGATTCATACCATTCACCTCGATAACTTGTATCGAAAATTTTATTATTATACGGATGGAAATTTTATTTTACAAGTTTATTTCATTTTTATATAAAGTATCTAGATGATTTGTATAAAATTTATTGAATTGTAGTTGTGTACTTTAACTTACATTGACGTGTACACGCGATCGCTATGATCGATTATTTGTTGTCCCAACCAGCATGCGATATATAAGTGCAGTAATTGAGCGATTATATAGCTGGCATGTCGGATTGCAAGATGTGGAGTAAGAGTATTATTAGTCGCCTGAATACTCCGAAACAAAGTCAGTTTTATCACAAATTTTTGTTATTCACAATGTTTAAATCACAATGTTTTATTATATTGACATTGTTATATCATGATAAGTTTTTGATAATTGTTATAATTTTATATAACATTTGACTATTAATTATTTTAATATTAAATATTACATTATATGTCGAGCATGTACCTGTAGGGCCGATAGACTCATAGCTAATACAATTAATCCAACTTCCATGAAGAATGCCTTTGTATAAACAATCTCCAAGCATTTGGCAAACCTTATTTAACGAGAGATTTTGATAATTTGATTTTCCGCTTTTTTAAAATAGATAAATAGGAAGTTTTTATACTTTTTACATTCTCATATTTTTTTTTATATTTTTTTAATCATACAAAGGTACTAACCATAAGGCATGTTTATGTTTTTGAATGCAATATACGAAGTTTTTGTACATTTTCTCGTTTTCCTCGAGCAGAGCAAGTTCCTTATCCTGTTCGATAGATATTCGTATATGTTCTAGTCGATATCTTGAAAATGAAATATCTGAGTTTTTAAAGCACTTTTTTATTATTTAATTTATTTGATACGTACCTGACAACTGAAAATAACGCGCAACAATGTTGCACTAAGATAGCTACGAAGGTATCGAAAGCGACTACGATAGTAAGCCGAACGGCAGTAGACAAATAACTATGAATTAATACAGGATAATAATACTTATTGAGATCTACATAATATTCCACATGATACGGATATCCTTTTGGCCGCGTGGCATAGTTAGAAGTTACATTTTTGCCGATTATTACTGGAATTATCTCCATTAACGAAAAGCCGCTGCCGAATATATACATGCCAGCTAGAAATCAGACGGCACTTTAAAAGAATTATATTCGTGTAACACGATCCAATTTAATGATAATTTTTTTGTTTGTTGTTGACTTTGTTTTTGATGTTAAAAAGCTATTTTTAATTTATATATAAATGTTAATTTTTAAATCAATAGTTATTTATATTAAGACAAAATTAATTGTTACATAATTATCGAATAAATATTTTCTTTCATGATCGCTTTGTTAGTTTTAACGTGTAATATAATAATAATCGTTATATATTAATTTCTTACTAGCATAGCCAACAGTAATACTTTTTCCACTCTCCGCAAATCTATTCAAAATTTCAAACTCGCTTCTGATACTCCACGATTGCCAGTCCTTTTGTATGTGTATAAGAAGTATCTTCATCTACGACTTAAAATTTTATTTTTTTAGAAACGTAATCTTGTATTTAACATTAATAAACTTTTTGCATACCATCTCTGTATTACACATCAAATTCGTTATCTTAATGATGCAGGCACAGTCTATTATGAGCGGAGGTATACATTCGATAATCGCATCAAAATCGTCGCGTAACGTCACGACAGCGAGTACCTTGAATCCGATATTTCCCAGCAAGATGAAGAACATTTCGTAAACAAAAAAATATTTTGTAAAATATACAGTATGATTTGCAGTGATAATTTGCAGTGATAATTTGCAATGATAATTTCAAATATTAAAAATATTTTTTTTAATTCTAAATCTTTAATATAAATAAATGTCTACATATTTCTTGTTTTCGAAATTTTAATTTACGGTTAACGAGATTAATAAAGCAAGATTAAGAATTGCAATGTAAGGAACGTACCTGCGCGATAGCTTGCGTTATACCGATAAGTGATATTGTAATAAAGAAAACTCGCCTCTCTTTGTCTTTTTGAAAGGGCCATTGTCCCAATAATGACAGCAGCGTACGATTGAGACTGTATAATCGAGACTGAAAGATATTGTTTGATGTATCCATTTTCAATACTCGATTTTGAATACTGCACCATCACCACTACTTCTCATAATTTCCAATCTAATAAAAAATTCTCTCAGAGAGACCGATGTGGGCAGTTATGATAAATTACGAATATTTCCTGATTATTCTATTAGAATGATGAAAGGCTCGGACGATCAAGCGCTTATCCCAGAAATATCTGTGTGATGTTCTTTTATGATTGATTTTACACAGGTATATCTTATAGTCGGCACTTATACCTTGCAAAATTACCCTTATTATTATCGGGATATTGTCAAGTTTCACGGCGCATCATGACCGTATTTGCCATGTATTTCTTCGGATTATACTTTTGTTTACAGAAATCTATATTGGATCTTTCTGAAATTTGAAACTAATTCCTGGACCGCTATTTTCGAAACAAATTTAGTTTTACAGATACGCAAATATACGTTTTATTTATTATAAATATAATTAATGCAAAAGATATCTATTCTAAAAATGATATTTTAACAATAAATTTAATCGATAACTTAATTTAGTCAATTTAACTTAATTAAAATAAATATTTAGTAAGATAATTAATAAATCATAAATTGCAGAGAAAGAAAAATTGAAGACATCAGTTCAGAAAACAATATGTATTGAAGGCTCTTTTTATAATTTAGAAATTTATCTTTATTAAATCTTATTATATTAATGATAACAACACAGTGTAGATTAAAATGTAAATTAAAATTTTTTGAAAAGAAAACTAGATTCTATTTTGACAAGAAAATTTACTCAACAAATAATTAACGGTATAGATGTATCATTATTGTTATTTTATATGTGCAGTAATATGTATAAAATGAATGACAAGCTTCTCGAATTCAAATGCGATATTATTGATGATCATTGCTACATCTAATCATTTTATGAGGCTAATGATGAATTCGAATTATCTACGGTAGGAGAGTTATTGCCACAGTGATAACACATAGGAGCTTCGTAGCCGAGTGTGATAGCCATGTCGTCAACATCGGGACGGTGATTATTGCATAGAAGTTAATACAGTGAAATAGGACATAGAGGCTTGTACAACCTGTATAAAAAACAATTTATTTACACGCGGATGACTGCGAGTATTGTATAAAAGATTGCATTGTACATTATTATTATTATATACTAATAATATATTAATTTTGCATTATGTTCCACGTGAAACATGTGATTAACTTAAACTTTTTCTTTAAATAATGTATATGTTTTTATGAAGAATATTCTAATTCTTCAGAATATCAATTGATAATTAGCTCACGGATTATTTTCTTACCCCGCTGAAGCTTCGTAAACACATGACACTCATTTTCCCAGCTGTCAATTGACATGGCGTTTTGCAACGTATTAACATTAAATTCAGTGACTTCCTCGCTCGTAGGGAAATGGCATACCAATTTGCTGCATAACTGCGAAATAAAATACTTATTTGATATTATATATTGTACTCATCTCCTTTTCTGTCGTACGAGGTACATTTTACATTTTTTTAGCAATAAACTCGCAATATATACTGTCCTGAATTGAAAATTTTGCTGACTGCAACAATAACATTAATAATTACAAATATTAGCAAAATCTAATTATTTTTATCTTTCTGTTTTTCAGATTACTATTTCTTGGAGAAAGCTTTTGTATATATGGAATAAAAGTCTTATTTGAAAATAAATTCCAATTTCAATTTGTTTTAATCTTAAGCTTGCTATTTTTTATTATTTCTAATAATTTAATATTAATAATTGAAATGATGCATTATTTCATTTTGATAAAATCTCAATGAGTATATTAATAAAAGAAATATTATACTTATAATTGTTGCCGTACTTTTTAATGTTCTCTATGATAATAATTGATTTTGTTTACCAGAATATATCGCAAGTTTATATCAAAGAATATACATTTGCACGCTTACATAGATTTATGCATATTAAAGCTGTGATCTATTAATTTTTGTCCAGGCAGGCAGAGAAAAAGAAGGTGTGCCGACAGACATAAACCCGTGAGTAAGAATCTAAACGCTTCCGAGGGCTGATTTCGGTTGTTCACTACCTAATTGGGAATCGAAGCTAATAAAATTGGGAAGCTAACAAATTTTGATTTTAAGATCTCTTCAAGATAACATAAATAGAAGTGTTCTATTAAGTCTCAAATAAATTAATAATTTTTGAAAAATTAATATTTACTCTAACTAATGTAATTCATAAAAATCACAAACCTGTACTCCGCTGAATGTCATAATCGCCACGTTCAGTACTATCAATGCCACAAATGATATACTGTATGAAGACGCCAATAATTCGGCAAATCTAATGACAGAGCACTCTCATCACATTTCGTATAACAGTGTTTAGTATCGAGTTTGTCTTTTCTTATATTCTAGAGTAAACATCATCTTAGGCAATGTGTTGTTAAATTAATCCGCTCAGAACATTCTAATTTATGATACCTACTGTAAAACTTGTTTGTGCTTCGAGACGCTGTCACTGATTATGCGATAATGTTCGTCGTCTTTGTACAGCGGGTAAATGTTAATTTTGAGGTCGTCATTTTGTTTTACATTTTCCAGTTGGTGTCTGGGAAAAATCATTAAGTCAGAAAATTTCTAAAATAGAACACCAGCGTAAGAACGAATTACAACATTTCGCATCTGGGATTTCGAGTTGGCTGTCGCTACTGAACTACTTTCGCGTCTTTGTGAACCGTACCCTATCGCTTGGAAAAGACCACAAGCGTGTTGTATGTAAGCTATCATCATGGAGTCCGCCGCTACCGGAATGGTCATCAAAAAGAAGGTCGCGTAATAGGAATGCAATAGGATGATGTAATAATATTTCTTCGTATCGAGGACAGCCTCCACGTGGTACAGCAAGCCGTGAATATGCGTTTGATTTGGGTTTGTCAAGATCGCCACGATGGACGGTGTGACGGGCAATATCATGTACAAGCACGTGGAACCATATATTATAACTATAAAAGTGTGCGAATGTGATACTCTTAATCTCTCCATCATCTTTTTGCAGCGTACGCTTGAAAATTTAAGTGCAATTCAGAACAGAGCTAGTAGAAGAGAAATATCGATGTAAGATGAATGATACGTCTTTCAAGATACCTCACCTGCGTACACCTTAGCCATTTTTTTGCCCTCGTTGGTGTAGGCTGTTAAAATTTGTATCTGAGCCCCGAACGTTGCTAATCTCCAGCTGTCTCTCATTTGGATAAAGAGACTATTGAACTGTCCAAATTTATATGACACAATATACTTTTAGTGACATGTGCTTAAATTTAAGATTTCTACTCACGTACCTTGCGAGCGTTAAAGAAATAATTTGCAAACTTTATGATGCACAGTGAGTGAATGATAATAGGAGATGAACATTCGATAACGAGACTCCAATCCTGCCACGCCGCCACTAAACCGAGTATCTGGTACGAAATAATAAGATATATTTATCTTTAGAAATTATCAAAAGCCTTTAAGTCAAAATTGAGAGAAAATATATAATGCTTGAGTATTTTCGGAAATTATAACAACAAGCAACTTAAGATATAATTTAATTCATTAATAATAAATATGTGAAAAAATCCGTTTTTGTAACAATTAATAACAAAAATAATATCTCTAATTGTACAGTTTTCTATTTGTATCGCTTAATTAAACATTATGAAATTTAATCAACAGTTGATCAGCGCGCAAACCAGCAAACAATATTGACTGCAAACAATGAGAAAAACGTGACAGGAAAGAAAGATTCTCTTCAAGGCGGACTGTTCCGGCCATTGACCGATCCACGACATGAAGAGTTGATTGATTTTATAATGCTCCGCGTTCATTCTGACTCTCTACCGAAAACTAGAATGCGTCTAGTAACCCTTTTCATAACAGAGATCAGCTCGAATATAAATTTCCTGTTTATCTTGTATTCCCTTAGTGAATATCTATAATGCCTATAAAGGTAGACGGAAATTTGCATAGTTGATGACGGCGTATCAAAAGAAACGCAATCGATCCCACGGAAGGTATATACAAACTATATTACTACAAAGTATACAGAAGAAAATTAATCCACTTACCTATATCTTTATTTTACTTGAAA